TTCTGCCTTTCACGCAGGAGGCCCGGGTTCGATTCCCGGCGTCGGAACTCTTTTTTTTTGTTTTAATCAATAAAATATAATGTATTATGTAGTACAAATATTTTCAAGCTAGTGATTATTATTGACAAGAAATGATAAATCAAAAATATTTTTGTTTTTCTTGAATAGTTCTTGTATTGAATGAAATAAAAAGACAAATTTAAAATTTTCTTTTACTTATGTTTGTCAATTATAATCATAAGTGAAACGTATTTGTCGTAAAAATAATCTCAACAGAATGTATGAAAAATCATAAGAAATATCAGTAAATGAATCTTCATCAGATAGTATACTATAATCCATATGAGCAAGTTCATCATGTTGACAGCACAAACATAAGTCACGAGTGACAAACAATATATGAAAAACTACAGAGGACTCATCTTCATCTTATTTTACAGCTGTTCAATTATCCTCAGATCTCACTTGTTTACAAACAGAAAATCCACAGCTTGAAAATGTTGTTTAAAGGGCCCCAAAAAAAATATCAATTTTGATCAAATTTGTCGATTTTGTGATTTATAGCTTGTTAGATAGAGCTAAATGTCTACTGTCGAATGCACTATAGTTTATTGATTTTATGATGGAATTTAAGGATATTGCACAGGCTTTTCTGAACCTTCCATAGGAGAAAATAAGGTTTTTTCTAAAAAGTTTTGGTTTTTTCCTCAAAATAGAAGTTTTGATTTTTACGTTTACGTGCGTTCCAGATTTCTCTGCCATTCTAAACAATAGAAAGCTGGGCTTGGTGTCAAAATGAAGGCAAAAATTAGCTCTACAACTTAACAGAGTCGAATTTTTCGATTTCCTCATTAATGTTTATAAGAAACTAACTTTTCTGAATCTACCTCCATCGGCGTTTTCACATTTCATCAGAGAAATTTTCTAAAGACACAAGCTAGGAGAGAATCGAAAAATTGGGTCCTGTTAAGTTGTAGCGCCACATATTGGCTACATTTTAAAATCAGCCCGAACTTTCTAACATTCGAAATGGCGGAGAAATTTGGGATGCACAGAAATCTAAATTTTGACCCATAAACCTTATGCTAACTCTTCGTAGATTCAATGTATCGAGCTGGGAGTTTTACTGTAAGGTGTCTAGCTTGATTCATCTTGCAAAAAAAACCTATTGATCATTGTCCCAATTGTAATTATTTATTAGATGAAGTACGTCAACTTCAATAACAACTAATTCATAAAATCTTATCACATTTGATGTTTTATTTAAAAAAAGAAACCAAAATTCAACACATACTCTGGAATGAGTCTAGTTTATGTATAAAATATATATATATAGATATAGATATATGCATATAACAACACACTGAATAGATGAAATTTGCTTTTTTGATTAATTATCAAAATCATCAACATTAATTCGCATTGTATTTTGTGGTGATCTTCGACGTCCACTAGATCCATTGGTTCGATTTCGATCATTTTCATTTCGATTACGTTCACGATTTAAACGTTTTTGTTTTTTTTCATAATCAATCTCTTGTCTTTTATGATAATCATATGGTGTATCAAAATCTTCTTCTGCTAAATTTTCACCTTCAAGAACACCAATTACAATTAAATCAGTTAATTTATATGGTTCAAGTCTAAGATTTGATTTCGATGTTTTTGTTGATGATGTATTTGATGTTTTATTTTTTTTATTTTGTGATTGATTTGTATTTGATGATAATGATGGATTAATAATTATCCATTGTGCACGATCAGGAAAATAACGTGCTAATGTTATTTTTAATGCTTGTTTAGAAACATTTTTATAATGTAGAGTATTTGTCATAAATGATGATAAACGTGTTAATACATGTTGTTCAAGATATTCATATTTAGCAATAATATTTTCTTTTAATGGCCAATGAACTTCAAATTGATATTGAAAATAATTTCCATCATCATCTTTAGAATAGACTATATTAAGAAGTAAATCTTTTTTTCCTAATGATTCAGGATTATGTAATGATTCAAATGCAAATAAATCAAGATCTTGAACTTTTGCTTGTCTAAAGGTAGAAAAAAAAGAAAAGAAAGAACAATATTGTTTTATTTTAATAAAAATTTTTACTTGAGAGTAAGAAGAATTGGTTCATGAATAATAGAGAGTGATTCATCATCTTCAATACGATAAAGACGAATAAAATCTAATGGTTTAACATCACGTGCATAACCAGAAGGAACTTTAAAATCAATATGTTTGGCAATACGTTCACGAAGAACATTGAATGGTGATATGGTTGGTAATTCAAATAGTTCTTTTAATTCGGCCATCTTATATTTGGGTTCAGTATGAACTAAGAAAAGACGAAGAATAAATGTATAATCTTAATCTCAAAACTTTTAGAACAGTACTATTCTTAGTAATGAATAGTCTAAAAATGAATTTTCAGATATATCGTAATAAAAATTGATCATTATCATGGATTCTTCAAGCATTTAATGGCTTCACAATTTATATATCTAATGAAATCCTTTTCTTTTCTTATATAAAATTTTAAGGAGATCGCCCCCTCCCTCTTCCTTTTCGAGATTTCTTCAGAATGACTCGATGAAAAATTATGAAACTTTCAAAACAGATAGATTTCGATAAATAGAGCAAAAGTTTTCATAGAATTAGATTCTTCTTTCAGGAAATATAGGAAACGCAAAGGCCAAAAATCGCCTGCAGTTTACCTTCCCACAAAACTTTATTTCATTTTTTAAGCTGCAACTTTTTTTATGGCAATTACGATTAGATCGGAGCGCGTGTTTTTTTTTAATGATACAAATTTTTTAAAGGCTGTCGAATTTCATGCGAACAACATTTCGAAGAAAGCAAAAAAAAATGAGTACCCAAATTTAACTAAAATATTCATAAACAAAATTTAAGCTTGACCAAGCATACCGTGTGAGAGAAAAAGGAGACAAACAAATTTTCCTGTATATATCAGGACTTTTTTCTTCGAATTAAAATGATTGAAAACTGGCAATGTTCAGCAGTGTGATGGGAATTCATGACTTATACTCTAAGCATCTTTGAAAAACTATTTTCGTGCCCGAAAAAAAAGAGACATCTGCTCAATGAGAACATTTTTTTTCTCCATGAAAATGAGAAATTCAAATTAAGATTTATTATCTAAACATTATTTCTTATTTGATATCAAATTATAAAATAAAAATTCATTCATACTAGCTTCATTTGGTGTATAAATTCTCTCGGTAATTCTTGAAATTTTCAATCGAACATGATTTTTCCTTGCAACACTTCCTCGTTTCATTGTTAATTGAGCTCCATTAGTAAGTTCATTAGCATGAAGTGTTCCATCAAAATCATTTAAAGGTGATTCATCATCAGTTAATGATGGTTTAACTTCACATAAATGATATTCATTATCATTTTCTAAATAATAATAAAAACGAAACAAAAAAAGAAAATAGATTAAATTTTCAAACGGAAAAACAAAATATAAAATTCTTTATTTACCATCCATATTTAATTCTTGTTTAATAAGTAACCATAGATCAGATAATATTATATTTTCATCAACAACAATTTCTAATGAACATGGTTCACGATCAGATAGAATATAAAGAAGAATATCATTCTTTTTTAATGATTGACCAAATTTTAAACATAAATTTGTATTATTTTGTTTAAATTCAATTGAATCAACTGTTTGATGATCATAAACTACGAAAGAAAAAAAGAACATTCTTTTGTTTTTGTTTTTTAGTTTATTTATATAAAATTTCACTTACGAGGAATATGTCCAACATCCGGATCATCAATATGTAAACGACACATACATGGATCTATAGATAAACCAAATGCTTGAATAGCCATGAGTTTAACGAGTTCGATTAGCTAACAAAAAAAAAAAAAAAACAAAAGTCTTTATATTTGAAATTTTTAGGTGTTGGTTTTTATTTTTGTAAACATACTGTTGTATTTAAACAACTATAAGTCATTGGTTTTGTATTATTTATATCAATACTATTTTTAACTGTTAATGATAATTGATTTTTACCAAAATTAATACTGTTCGATGAAACATCTTTCCAATTAGGTACACTAGAAAATAAAATAAAAAACAAAACAAAATTTTATTTTTAAAAAATTTAATATAGGAAAAAAGAAAAAGATATTTATTATTTTTTTACAGAGAATTTCTATCATCAATTCCTAATGTATCTCCATCTTGTAAACGTAATTGTGCTAATGTTTGTTTTTCTTCATCACTTTTATATTCTCGACGTGATTTACGATTATTTTTTTCTTCTAAATTTAATTTACCCATACGCATTTGTCGTAATTTTTGAGCATCATCATGTCCATAATAATCATGATAGAGAATTTCTTTTAATTCTAATAATGTTGTATTTTTTGATACATGTTTTATAGGTTGTAAATGTGATGCATGAATATGTATATCAGGAAAACCATAAACAATATTAAGCATTATTGGTTCAAATTCTTCACCTTGTAAAACTGTATCTGGTAATGATGATGAATTTGTATAAATAATTAGATTACGATAATTTGATAGATCACTTTTATCTAATATTTTATCATTATTTGATTTAATTAATTCATTTATTACATGTAATTGTCCCGAACGAAGTTTTTTAGCAATATAAAAATGATTTCCTACACCATATATATTCTAAATATAAAGATATTACTTAAATTTTTATCGAATACTTTTTTTTTTCAAG